TGTAATTTTATATAATTTTATATAATTATATGTAATTATATATGAAATATTTTTTTCTGGATTGATGGAACTAATAGCCTCAAAGTTTTAAGAAAAACCTTACTTTTTCTCTATAAATCAGCATCCAAATTGTAAATTCGATATTACTTGAAAAATTAGTTGATATATATTAACGGGACTTAATTAAAACCACTCTAGAAATTGTTTAGATTTTGAGACATCATTTTAATTTTCAATAATTTTCGACTTAAGTAAAACACGCCACTTTTCTGAGAGAGAAGTCGATTCTTTCATAAAGTTATTGATGTTTTTCATATATGTGTATTATTACTTATCTTCGATCGAGTAGTATAAATATGCTTTACGGAGTAATAATATAGGAAATCGGTCAAGTTTTTTTTTTATCGTAAGAAACTAATAGTAAACGATATGATAAAATCTGCATAGGTAAAACATATTATCTCGAAAGAAAAAGATGCCGCGTAAAAAGCGTCATTGTTCGATATTTTGAGAACGATAAACCCAAAAGATATCTCGGTTGCACAAGGTTAACGCGTTTGACATTTCTATCAGCTGTCGCGCTCAATATGGCTGCCCGCGCAAGACGCGTTTTCTTCCGCAGCATTGGAGAGACGCCTACATTAGATCGAATGTGGTGAACGTGATTGAGATGCTCTAAATTGTCATAAGAGTATTTCGACTTCGCAATGGCGGGTAACGATGTAGTACTGGAGGGATTTATATGCCCTATATGCATGACCGATTTTAAGGCACCCAGTCATTTAACAAAGCACTTCGAGGACGTTCACAATGATGATCCGGAGATCCTAAGATCTCTGAAAGGTATGCACGATTCTTTCGCAATTTATTTGTCAAGAAAAAATTTGTAGAAGCCTGCTTCTACAATTTATTAAGCTTGTAAAATGTGTACAGAACAAATGCCAAAATATATTGGATTTTACTCTAGATTTATTTGGCAAAGCCAAGAAAAAGATTTTGAAGCAGGATGATATACCAGAAACATTTCCAAGCGCAATACAGCAAGACAAGAGACGGAGTCCTGAAATTAATTGGGGACCACAAGAAATAGGTAATGCAGTGATACTGATGAGCCAAAGCTGTCTTTCACAAGAAGAAATAATATTTTTCATTAAAGTTTCTAAATAATCAAATATAGATTTTTAGTTTTCTAAAATCGGTATTTAGAAATACTGTATGCCGCTAAATACATAATTAAATTTTATATGATGTACATTTTATTTAATTTCTAAAAACTATTCCAGGTGCAATTACATCTCATACGAGATATTTTAAGGATATAAGAAATGCTCGATTAGAAAGATACGCATATGAAACAAATAAACTTCTTATAAGGTTAGATAAATTATTAAATAACTTACCATCGGATCCTGTCGATAGAAAAGGTAAGAAAATACATAAATTACTTATCCACTGATATATCTCATGATATCTATTTATATTTTACATACAATTAATGTAAATAAAAATTTTTATAGTTCATGAACGTTCTATTGTTCCATGGATTGATGAAAAAGATGTGAAATTGTGTCCTAATTGTGCTAAGAGTTTTCATTTGGCAAGGCGAAAACATCATTGTAGATTATGTGGGGCAGTCATGTGCCATAATTGTACGATATTTTTGTCCCTGATCGATGCACGTATGTAAAACATTTAATATTATTTCGGGTGCTTTTCAGTCACGGATAATATAGAGTAAAGAAAATTATTTCATTTTTGTTTAACGTTAGCAAACATGGATGTAATGATTCACTGTGGCTACTTTCCTTTTAGGAAACAGTCAACACAAATGTCGTTCTATTTTTCTTGGTATAAATAATTGAATGACGCTTATGTCAAATGTATCTCCTAAAAAGGAAAGCAACCTATTGTGTCACTTATGTTTTTTACTGAAAAGTACTTCTAATTTTCGAAATAATTTGTATATTCTTAAAATTATGTTTAACAAAATTAATTTTTTTTATAGGAAAGATGACTAGTCCCGTATCGATACAAGATGATTCTGCTTTGTCTCCTATATCAGAACGAACATTTCCCGAGAGAATAGCACGTGCAGGCATAGGTCTCTCAAAATTAGCACGGTCACCTTCCAATGGTAGTTTAAATAGCGTTTTATCGTTGGTCAATGATTCAACTAGTAGCGAACAGCACTTTAGAGTCTGTACTCACTGTATAAATTTGCTTGATGCAAGGGAAATGCAGAAAGCCAAGCAATTCGATAAACCAATTGTTTGTGAATTTTATGAGAAAATGA